ACACCTATGCGTCCCCGACGCACACGCACAAGGGGATTGTTGCGGCAACCTGGACAGTGCGTCCGCGTTAGCGTGACGCACACCCTTCCGATGGTGAATTTGGAAGGAGAATTCTTGCAACGTGTCCAGCCATCTCGCCAATTGTCCGGATGGCTGGTCCATCTTAAGAGCGTACTGCAAGGCCGCATGGTCCGTTCGGACAATAAACGACCGACCGTACAGATACGGTCGAAATTGGCGGAGAAAATACACAATAGCCAAAAGTTCCCTGCGAGTGACGCAGTAACGAGTTTCCGCGGGAGACAAAACCCGACTCCCGTACGCCACCACACGCTCAACACCACCTTTTGACTGGGACAACACCGCCCCAATCCCGGTGTCACTCGCATCAGTATCCAGAATGAAGGGATGTTCAAAATCCGGATAATACAACGTCGGCGCAGTAGCCAGTAGGTCGCGCAGGCTCCGAAACGCCGCCTCCTCCGGCGGTCCCCACACAAATTTGTGCCCCTTCCCAGTAAGGAGATGCAAAGGCCTGGCGATAGTAGCGAAATTCGGAACAAACCTCCGGTAATATGAGGCGAACCCCAAAAACCGACGCACATCACCCACCGTGGCGGGGGTTGCCCAATCCCGGACACACGCAGTTTTCTCTGGATCCGTGGCCACCCCGTCCGCACTAACAATATGTCCCAAGTATCGAACGGAACGTTGCAGTAGATGACATTTCTTAGGCTTGAATTTCAAATTAGCAGAACGCATTCTGGCAAAAACGGCCTCCAACCGCAATAAATGCTCATCAAATGTGCGGCTGAAGACAATAATATCATCTAAATAAATGAGACATGTCTCCCACTGCAACCCCGTCAATACCAACTCCATCAATCTCTGAAAGGTGGCAGGGGCTGCATTCAACCCCATCGGCAGACAGTTAAATTGGAACAACCCCTGCGGCGTACGGAACGCTGTCTTTTCCCGCGAGGGCTCGTCAAGGGGAAGCTGCCAGAAGCCCGAAGAGAGATCTAGCGTTGAAAAAAACTTAGCCCCTGACAAGGCGTCGAGAGAATCGTCCATACGCGGCAGGGGATACGCATCTGCCACCGACACTTTATTTAACTTCTGAAAATCCACACAAAATCGTAATTTACCATCTTTCTTTTTAACCAACACGACAGGCGCACCCCACGGGCTATTAGACGGAGATATAATATCCGCTTTCAACATGTCTTCCACTGCCCCTCGAACGTGCTCACGCTCAGCCGGACTCATCCGACGCGAGTTCAAGCGGATAGGGGCCGCGTCCCCCGTTTCGATGTGATGAGAGAGCAGCGAGGTGCGTCCCAAGTCCAAATCGTCCGAGCTAAACACATCGGAATAGCTCGCTAATAATTTATGAATCGCACAACGCTGCTCAGCGGAAAGGGCCGAATTTTCCGCACATAATTCGGCGATCCAACGATCGTCCACCCCTCCGTCGTGTGAAACACCACCCACCAGCCCCCCGTCCGGAATGTCACTCTGAGCCGTAAACGCCGTAGTGGCGTGTGCCACAACGGTACCAGCCGGCACACACACGCTTTCAGAAGTCGCATTTAACACCTGCAAAAACGGGCGCTGATCCGGACGGACAATGGTTTGCGCCCCCACCAGTGCCAATCCGCCCGTAACAGCGGCGGACGGCGACAGCAAAATTCCACAAGCACTCTGCCGACCCGGAACCGGCTTCCGGTATCGTAGGGGAATGAGCATCTGCGAGCCAGGTGGAATATCAACTGAAACTTCCGATAACGCCTGCACCTGGGCAACCGGAGCCGGTCGCCCCCAGGTGGACTGTAAAAACGCCAATTTGCGGCCCCCTGGCAGTTCAATGCAATTTTCATTGATTCTAATTAAAATGGGCATCTTAGCCAAAAAATCCGTGCCCAACAAGCAAGGAACCGCCAGGGACCTCGAAATTAACACAACGCCCGAGGCCGAGACCCCCCCGATAGAAATATTAGCGTCCACCTGTCCCACGATGCCCATACTACCCCCGTTCGCAGCGATGCAGGAAGCGTAAGCCGGCCTCACGGCCCCCGGTGGGATGTTCAAAAGATGGAATATGACATCCGAAATAATGGTCGCGGACGCCCCGGAATCCACCAAAATACGCACGTCCACCCCTTGGATCGACCCCGGTACAGTGGACGAACCTGTAGCGGCCGCGACAACCCGCCGAGCCAACTTACGCCACTGCGTTATCGAGCGACAAGGCGCAGATACTGGCCTCTCATATTTTAGAACATCCGCGTCGCACAACAACGGCGATGAGTGAGGTGTCAGGCCTTGCCGGGTGTCTGGTGCGCACCGACTTGCCTGTGCCGGAGGGTCTTTCTTTGGGACGTCCGCGATCGAGGCCTCCTGCTGGGGCGGCCCCGGAACCCGGGCCCAGCAGTCCCTGGCATAGTGGCCCCGACGGCCGCAGCGGAAACAGTCGACGTCGGGTCGGCGCGCAGCAGGCACCCCGTCCCGACGTGGCCGCGCCGGCGGCGGAGCCCGCGGCCCCGGCTCGCTTCGAGCCGGCCACGGAGTGGAGGCGGCCGACAGCTCCTTTGGGCCGGTCGCATCCGGCACGTACACGGCCTTTGTAGGGTCCCACCCTACGGCCCCCCCATCGACGACAGGACCGCCCGTCCACGCCGTGACTTGTTTCCAGCGGCGGAGATTGAACTGGGCGTCCAAACACTTAGCCGCGGTCCGGGACGTGAGTTTCTCGTGACCGCAAGCCGGCATAGGAATGCCCAGATCCCGGGATAACTCCAACATCTTCCCCAAGATGAGAGGTTCCAGCAGGTCAGGCTCCGTCTCCGGGTAAGCGGCCATCGCGAGTTCCAGCACGGCGCCCCTGTACGCTACAGGCGACTCCTCCGGTGCGCGTTGCCGCTGCACGAAGCGGCGATGGGCGTCATCCGGTGGCTCGTACGCGTCCGCCATTTCGTCGAACACTCCACGCAATGTTTTCTTCTTCGCAGCTTTTATAGAGCGAAAAAAACGAACAGACTCATCGTCAAGGAGAGTCGGAAGCACCTCCAGCGCCTCGGCGTCCGTCCACCTTGCCGTTCGTACCGCCGCCAAAAATCGACAAGCGAACGCACTCCAATCGCCCCCGATGGAGAACTCCTTAACAGTTGTAAGGTGACGACTGCGGCTCCTTGGCCTGCTTCCGTCCGTCACCGACTCTTCCGGCGGCAAGTTCAGCAAGGCGTCGCAACGCGGTGTCGCCAAGATGGCGGACGATCTTCGTGGCGGCCCCAAGATGGCGGCTTCCCGCCTTCCGTGGTGCGCCACGCCCAAGATGGCGTCTTCACGCCGCGTGGTCGATGGCGGCGCCATCGAAGACGACCCGGGCTCCTGCCGATCACCACCATCACCTTCCAACGCCGCCCTTGGCGTGACAAGGTCACACAACTCCGTGATGACGGTTTTTAGGGTCGCCAGTTGCTCCGCCATCCGGGTCCATCTTAAATCTTCGTCCTTCAACACAGATGGGTCGGGCGCAGCGGCAACCTCCTCCACACCCGGGCCCTCACGGATCTCTCCCTCCGCCGAAGTGAAGCCGACCTCAGGAGGAAGATCGTCGTCGTCCGATGATGAAGCCGACGCCGGAGATGGGATATTCTTCTTCCTCAGTTGTTTCGCCATGCCGTTTCACTTCTGACTCCAGTGTAATAAAAGGACTCGAACACTTCTTTCTGTCTTCGTGTCTTTATTCAGGTTCACGTCTTTACCCACACGGCACTCTGTTATAACTCCTGTATTTGTAGCCCCCGGCTATTCACTGCTATTATAGCTTCCTCACCCCTCTGACTCTCTGCTTCATCTACTGTAACCTCCTCCCTGCAGACTTGCTGCTACCCCTATGTGCAGACCCTCTGGCTGTCACTGTATGCAGACCCGCTGCCCACTCTCTCTGTGCAGCCCCGCTGCTGACTGCAGCCTCCTCGCTGCTTCGGGTCGGTCACCGCTGGCCAACGGTGCCGATCCTCGCTCCCCCCGTGTTCGTGGCGATCTCGCCACACCCCGCTTCGCCCTTCGTGGCCTTCCTCTGTTCCTGGTTCCCCGTCACTCCCTCTGCTCTTCCGGTTCCCCTCCTTCTATACTCAACCCCTCTCCCCCCACGTGACCTAACTCCTCCCCCCCTGACGGCACCTCAGAAGGGCCGTTTACAACCGCATTACACATATACAACACCTGGTAATCGCTTATAAAAGAACTCACCACTTCAACTCCGCATGGGTGATGGGGCTGTTGTCAAGAGAGTGGACAGGTTTCCATACATGGGAAATGTGCTTTTTGACTAATTCTGATTTGGCATTGGAGATTTCACTCCGAATCAGTCAAGAGGCAGGATATTTTCATCAGCTGCGTAACTCTTGTGTGTGGAAGCTGCACGACAACAATAACTAAGCTTGTAGCAACATTTGTGAAGATGCTGTTTAAAACGTTTTAATGCACAGTAATGACCTAGAAGACCTCGCATCACTCAGGGGTCAGAGTGCTCAGCCAGAATCGTTGAGATCATGGGTTTGAATCCAAGTAACCACCTATGATACCATTTCCTCAAATGCAAACAGTTCATGGACTTAACCTGATCCTCAATTACAGGAGAGCAAACTGTTATGTTTTATTTTAATTTTACTTAATTTGGCTGAAATTTCAAGTCTGCGGTTTTAACAATGGATCTGAATAAATTGTGACCTTTTCTCTGGAAATCATACAAAGATCACCTACGTTATTTATATTCCGTGAGATTTCTGAAATAATTCTTCATAACATAAAACCAATAACACAATTGGAATACGGGAGAGAAAACAATGCTTTAAATATTGAAGGGTTATTCCCACACTTCTTGAGATGTATTCATCACTTTAATTATATAATGTAAGGGCAAATGTTGACTAAAGAAAAATTATGGAGCCCCTGTCTCTTGCTATTTGTCTTCTTTTGCTCCTCTCTTGTAGATCTCTTCCCGGGCGACTGTTGGAAGTGGACCACGTTAAATGGTGGCCTCTGGTGAACATAGACGGTTCCTGGGAGACACAGAAAGCAGCAAGAAACCCAGGCTGATGCGATGGTGGACTCAGTGTGGCTTGAGACACGCTCAAATCGGCCTGGCCGCGCTGCTGTTCATCATCCTCTGGACGCTCCTGATAATTATTCTTTGGACAAAGGACACAGACTACACAATATATCACACCTGCAAATGTGAGCCCCTTATTTAGGAGTTAGTTCTGTTGTGCCTAATGACATGTTTTTTTCACTCACTAACATATTTTATAGGGAAGCAGAGAAGTAAAACATTTTCACGGGACTCGTTTATATATTGTGATGCAAGCAGGAAACATGCAAGATGTGTCCACAAGGCGGGTCTTTTCAGACAAGATATCGTTAGCCCCTTGAAAATCCAAGTTGACAGCCATTTGTTTAAGATGGCCACGAATAAATTCTATTTTCCCTACAGAAATTGACCGAGTTGTCCAGGTTTAGATGATTTAAGTGTCCATTTCTACATTTTTTCCCCCACGAAGGATATGTTGAAGTAGTCATCCTACAAGTACGTCTTCAGTTTGTGGGCATGTTTGAACACGGTTCATATATTAAATCACAGTTAAGGCATGGTGCATATAAAATGCACATGGCAATTGCACAGCCATAGAGTACAAAGAAGGAGCAGGGACAGACATAATATCTTAAAGATCATGAGACTCCCTTCCCTCCTCCATGATAGTGAAAAGTACACGTAAATTATAATTTATTTATACTCCGTGAGATTTCTGAAATAATTCTTCATAACATAAAACCAATAACACAATTGGAATACGAGAGAGAAAACAAAACCTGGGCTCCCACAACGACCCCGCTTTCATCTTCTTGGTTCTTTCGGTAAAGTCACATAGTAGCTCCCGTGACATGACGTCATCGCGCCTCAGCATGCATGACATCACATCGTCATACTACACTGCACATGAACAAGTACTGTGACCTTAAATTTCGATTTAAACTGTGGCCTTGTCTAGAAATTAAAAAAACGTGATAGTGTCGAACATGAACACAATGTTAGACAACATTGTGCTGCACACTCACATGTAATTAAATGTCTCCATTGTTACAACTTTTGAACAACAACTCAACATGGATAACTGCACATGAACGTATTGGCGGTACAGCAGTGGTGTGCGGTATTTAAAAAAAAAATACCATTATAATCGCAATTATATTTATTTTCCCGCGATTTGCAACCCCGGTCAGAAAATCTTGCGGGGTGGTGTTGGTGCGTCAACAAAATCAGTTATCGTGATGTCGAAGCAGTCGGAACACGAATGTCGTTTCAAATTTAGATTTTGGATCTGTTTTATGAGGCCCGGTGTGTGTTATGCTGCACCAGTGTACCGCCAATGCGCCAGTTTGCCTGAAATCATGTTACAGAAAAGTGTATCTTTTGAATTTTAGCTTGTGTCGAGATATCTTTCAAAGTTATCATAACAGACCGAGGTCGTGGAGTAGTAGACTTGCAACGATGATCTCTTGCCGGGACTAAATAATGACCACATTGTAACATGCCTGAGGTGCTGGATGCCATCTCTAGTCTCGTGGCAATTTGTCTTTTAGAGGCTTGACATATCTGCGGGACCTGTTTGTCAAAATGAGCACACAGCAGAGGGATAAAAAACTAAAATCTACAATAACCACCTGCTGTGAAAGTTGAGCTCCGCGTTCTGTAAATGCGTTCACAGGTAAAGAAAAAAATCCCCAGTGTAATACGCGGCTACGCGATGACCTCGGCACGTATGAAGTTGGTGATGAAGTTTTTTCCGGGAGGCAGGATATGTTTCCCCGGAGAATAAAAAGCAGCCCACCACATGGTTTAAATGACACAGACCTTCATGGTGATGACGACACGAATAGCATCGACACTTCCAGAAAAAGGTACATTTTCAGTATCACAGTTTCCACTGAATCAAATAACAGCCCATGTCAATACATGTGGGAGTCATTGATGCAAAGGGCTCCAATTAGTGCACTGCAAAAACTCACTTATTTTGGTGTACTCAGAAAAAAAAGTTAGACTTATTCTTTTTTAAACGGTTGTCATTAACCATTCAGGTACTAAGATGTTCAACCACCAAAATATATACCTTTTGCAAAGCATTATCGATTTGGTGTTTGAACATCTTAACACCTGTTTCATTGCCAAAAATGGTCAAAACTATTCCTATTTTTTTCATCAGTTTTTATACTGGCACTGGTTCCATAGATATTAACCATTAAATTAGTTGCATGGTCAAAAGAGAAGGGTCAGGGTTGTCAAGGGGCAATGCATTCGACAAATTATCATGCTGTCATAATGTATGCAAAGAGAGTTTGCTTTTTGGCCGAGTGCAGTCTCCTTTTCAGAATGGCTGTCACAGTGTCCAGAATAACTATCTAAAAAAGAATCCGATATTTTTTGTGCGAGTTTTGAATATCACCTGGTGGCATGCCTGAACTCATGATCTCTTTTTATGTAAATGACTTGGGCACTGAACTGGATTATTCCAGGGTAAATCTGTTTGCAGATGACACGGTACTGATTACTGCTGGCCACTCTCCGGATGACGTGATTGCTAAGCTCCAGAGTGATTTCAACAAACTACAACATTAGCTAGTTGCTCTTAAACTAGTCCTAAATCCTGCCAAAACCAAGGTGCTATGCTTCTCACCAGGACTAAAGCGGGAAGTTATTGTCCCCCAATTACATTCCTTAAATAATGATCAAATAGAGCAAGTCAAGATCTTTAAGTATCTTGGGGTCATCCTGGATTCAAAACTGAATTTTGAAGATCACATTGACTATATTGGGAAAAAGACAAAAAATAAAATTGGTTTTCTATATCGACACAAGCACTGCTTCCCCTCTATGTTCCGTTTGGAATTGATAAAAGCTACCATACTGCCTCTATTTGATTACTGTGACATCGTGTATAAATCAGCCCCAAGTACTGTACTGAAAAAGCCTGACTCAATGTATCTCTCGGCCTTAAGATTTGCATTGAACTGCCCATATAGGACTCACCACTGTGATCTCTACATTGGGTCAAACTTAACATATCTGAATGTTCGACGGCTTGTGCACCAGATCTTATTTATTCATGATGTACTTACAAAAAAATCCGCAGATTATCTGCTGGATCTCCTCTCTGTTTCAAAGAACAAATTTGACCTAAGGTCTACACTCATTTACCAGCTTCATATTCCCTATTGCCGTACATATACTGGAGGAAGGGCCTTTGCTATTGATGCCCACAAGGTCTAGAATGCTGTTGCCAATAAATTGAAACTTGAGTCACTACCTATGAGATCTTCACTCAAAACTGCTCTAGAGGAGTTGTACACCCCTAGCTGCCAGTGCTATTCAGTGGCCTAAAATAAAATGTTTCGCTCCGGATGATCGCTACAAAGTATGACCTGTGTTTTAATTTAGTGTGCTGATCTTAAAGGTGCATTGAAAAATTATAATACTCCGATTGATGCTCCTGCTGTTGTGGAGTGACTCATGCAGCCAGCTATGGCTGCAGGGTTTTGGTAGTACATGTTTTTATGCCATTTATTGTGAAATTAACGTCACAGTTCCTATGATCACTGTTTCATTGCTTTCATGGCTTTATTTTGGTGATTCGAAAAGTGTATTGGTTTAGCCATGTTTGTTTGTTGTAGTACAGAGTTAGACTGATGGCCTTAATCTAAGTTGTCTTTTGGTTGTTGTTGGTTGTTTTACTTGCATCCCACTGGTATTTTTGCACACAGCGTTGGTGTACGGTGTTTTTTCTGCAATATTTTGCTGTCTTTTCTTGGATTTTCTGTTTGCACTCAGTCACATATTCACTTTAAGATGTTTTTTTGTTCATGTTTTTGCTTTTTGTTTGTTGCGGTTGCACCCGATTCAAGAGCCGAATGGGTCATAGGGCTATACCTATTAAATGAACTTGAACTTGAATGATGATGGTCAAGGGGTAGTGTTGCACGAGAAGTGTGTGAAGTTGTATGCATGTCTGTATGTATGTTGAAATTATTTTGCACCGTACTCAACCAACCGTGCTATTTGGAGGTGCAGGGAAAGGACAACAAACTAAACAGAAAACGCAGTTTTTCAGAAATTAGTTTTCCATCTCGATTTAATAGTGCATAGCTCCAGGGGCTTCCCAAGTTGAAAGAGACGTCGGTAGGGCTTATGAAGCAGTAGGTCGGGCCGACGTCAGGAAAAGCAAGACCCCTCCGTGTAGACTGGGCTCGTGATCAAGTGGGCTTGGTTATGTGACAGTAGGTGCAGCTGACAGAGGAATATCCTGCCAGCTCCTCCCAGCAATATGGCAGCCACATAGCATACAGGACTATAGACACGAGGCTGTGAGTCCGTGCACATCGTTTACATGTCCATCAAAAATAGTTTCTGATGATTACTCGAGAAAATTATATGGAAAAAATTCCGCTTTATTGACTGGCAAAAGCGCCGTGGTGACATCACCACCACTTAGTGGGGAACGGTGATTGTTGTTGATGGGGTTGGTGGTCATGTGGTGGCGATTGCTGTGATGGTGGTGATTGTGGTGATGGTGATTATGTTTGTGCTGATGGTGGTGGTGATGGTGATTAGGTGGAGGAGGCTCTGCACTTCTCGCTGGGACCCCGCTCTTCCCGTTATCTTCGCCGTGACCCCCACGTATGCTCGCGCCACACAGAAAGCGGATCTCACGCGCCTCTCGCACACCATGGCCCTGGTGCCCAACTTGCACTGGCTGGTCGTGGAGGATGCGCCCGCGCCCTCGGCTCTCGTCTCCGCCGTGCTCCGCAACGCCTGGCCGCTATCCTACAGCCACCTGCACATGGAAACACCTAAACAGGACCCCCTTAAGGTGACCAACATCAGCTCGATCATAATCATTATAAGCTTGATCATCATCATCAGCTTGATCATCATCTTGGTCAAACGATTGTACAGATGCTTCCAAGGTGATAGACACAAAACATAAAATACAAACATGTGACACCAATATTTAGCAGCATTCTTATTCTATCTAACATTATTATACATAACATTTTCATCTCATGAACACTGATGAACATGAGCAAAACTGTCATGCTCTGTAATTTTCCTATGTGCAATGTGGCTGGGCAGTCAGTGTCTTTCTTGTTCAGTGTACACCTGTAATGAGTCGGACGACGAAGTACTAGGCGCGACTATTTTTTAATGCAACACAATCGTGGTCCGGGCTTGGTGCTTGATCTTGAAGCTGTACTTTCCTGCAAACGTCCCCTCCTCTTGTGCTTTGCCCTTTTATATCGTTCCACTTTCCTTCCTCGAATGTTCCCTCACTGTATTTCCCTTAGCCAATCCCTGTCCCTCCCCTCTAATGGATATCAATCGTCGCCTCGGGGTTCCACTTTGTTTCCCACCAATTCTCATTAAGACCCTTTCCTCCAATCACTTCAAAAGCTTGCCTCCCGATCCCTCTAGAGGCCTATTTCCACCAATCTGAAACCTTGGTTTATCTTCGAATAGTCTGTAGGCTGCACATTGGCTTGGGGTAAAATTTTGGTCATTACACACCTATCATCATCATACAACACAAACGTCTTCTTCATCACCATGATCATGTTCAGTGGCTATTGTGCGCCAGACATTATTTGGTCAAGAGCCTCGAGTTTTTTTTTATCTAAGGGCCTTGCGCTTATGAGCAAGATTTAGAAAAACATAATTATAAGACATCAGGTAATACACAACATAGTGCAAAATCAGCCATGATGGAAGATTCCCGCAGCGCATTGTAAGTTACAGGCATCCCCCCTATAATCCTCAGGCTTCGTTCTTGGTAGGTGTGGACCTCTTTCGCACCGTACGTAGCCATTCGTGCTAATTGGTGGTCGCAAACGGAGCGCTATATGAAACAACGCTGTAGGAGACCATTATTACATCGCTCCAATGGAGATGCATTCTGGACCGCTATCTTTTACCTATGAGCGATATGAGGGCTTCATTAGGGTATCAGTAACGGCTTTAATAAACACATTCCTGCGGAGGGAGCTGGTAGTAACGTTGGGTTGCTCGGTCAATGGCCAGGGTCAATGGCGGCATGGTGTATTCTGCAAATATGTCCGACTGTGAGGGCGGGCACAAGCCGGCGTGAGTAGGTTAAACGTTGATTCAGGTAGGAACAACAAGTTCCACACTGCCCACCAGGGATTATTTGTCTGTCTGTCGTGCATGGCCCTGCCCCACCAGAGCCCTCCCATTGGCTCAGGGGCGCCGACCAATGGGAGCGGTGGGTTGGGGTTGGTAGAGAGGTGGGTTAGTGGTGGGGGGGGGGGGCACCGCCGCGACTCGGGCCAATGAGGAGACGGGTGATGTTTCATTCACAAAATGGAACTGGGGGAGGGTGGCTCCATACAATGGAAGTCTTGAAAAGAAAAAAGCAGATACAGTATTTTACCCTCGTGTTTCTTTCAACATTCCCAGCCTTAAGGTGATTCAGTTGGGGTCGGAGGGGTGGGGCTGGTGGAGAGGGGAGGGTGGGGAGGGGCTGGGTGGGGAGGGAGGGACTGGGTGTGGAGGGACTGGGTGGGGAGGGGAGGGTGGGGAGGGGCTGGTCACCCCGTGGTGCCCTTATGAAACTCAAATTTTAACCTACAGACTACACTATACACGACACGATACACTCCACTTATACAGGTAGGAACAACAGCTTCCACACTGTCCACCAGGGATTATTTGTCTGTCTGTCGTGCATATCCGGAATTCCGCCCACCCATGCACCTCCCCACCGAACACCGAGCTATGCCGCGATTGGTTGACGATGTCGGGGAGGGTGGGGGGGAAGGGGAAACATTCCCACTCATCCAACTGCCCCCCCCCCCCCCCGAACGCCGCGCTGTCCAAACAAGTTCCTACCTGCCTACTCAAAAAGGAACGTGTTAAGGGCACCACGGGGTGAGTAGCCCTTTCCCACCCAGCCCCACCCCTCCCACCCCCCACCCAGCCCCACCATCCCCGTCCAGCCCCTCCCCACTCAGCCCCTCCACACCCTCCCCACTCAGCCCCTCCCCACCCTCCCACCCCTTCCCACCAAGCCCCACCCTCCGCACCCAGCCCCTCCCTCCCCACCCAGCTCCTCCCTGCACGAGGTATGGACAAAATCATCCCCTGTCGGCTGGAGTAACCAGGAGGTTACTACCAGTATGATTCCATATACAAAATAAATTATTTCAGCATTTTATGAATACAAATAATAACTTTTCATAATGGCATAAAACATACAATAATTGATTTACTCCGCAGTGCATTCGTTCGGAGCTTGCATAAGATTAACCACAGCCTACCGTAAACACACGTTCCGCGGGAATCTGTATAGTACAATTCAATGGGATTACTCGATCCGTGGATCGCCAATCAATATAGTGATTAACCCATGATGAATCGATACGCTAATTTGGCTGGCGGATAGACTCTGAGCAGAATCGATGCAATAGACACCACGATTAATTTTCCACAAGACTATATATCGGAAAGACATGCCTCTATGGGCAATGCCACGCCCACTTTCTTCCAGAGATGTAGTGACATCGCTGGATGTCAACATGTTGCGTGCAGTGCCCGCCCTAGAGAGGCACGGCGTGTGGTGTAGTGGCATCGCGGATACCACAAGGTGTGGGTGTAGTACTGGCCCTAGAGGGGCCCGGTGAGTGCTAAATGATAGCGCTAGATGGCACCACGCTTTGCGTGCAGCGCCGATCCTACAGGACAGGGTGTGTGGGTGCCAGCCGAAGGATGAGGTTACTCGAGGCCATGGCACTCTGGTTGACCCGGGAGGACACGTGACCAGTTAAGTCTACAAAGGGGCCCCAGGAGGGGGCTGGGGGTGGTCATGTGATTGGGACCCAGATCCTTCCCGAGGATTCTGGAAGGTGGACGTGGCCAAGGGCGGAGGAAGCTGTTGGTCTCGGTTCTTAGCAGCAGTTACGTTGTAACTAGTGTAGTTAGCCTGGTGGTCACCACCACAGGTTGTTATTCTGTTAAGGGAAAGTTACCCCGTGTGTTGGAACTTAATAAATGTGTTTCCTCCAAGTCTACGTCTGCGACTCAGTTGAACCCATTACAACTCGTGTCACAAGTGGCCAAACGTTATTTTGTCAGTAAGATTGGCTGAAAAGGTTATGCTTATGCGAAGCAGACTACTTACCAGGACGTTGTCGGACAATGAGAACGACGAAGGCGTTATTCCTCAGACAGCCCGGGGATGGCGACCTTGGAGAAAGGGAGTGAGGCGCCGCTGGCAGAGCATCGCGACGACCACCTCAGCAACAGCTCACCGCCGTCGAGGAAAGAGCACCGCACGTTCCGCACCCACCTCGCGGAACTCCTCTAGGCCGTGGCTGCGATGGTCGCGGAGCTCGACCGCAAAGAGGCAGCGGTGAAGGAGAAAGCACCAGAGCTGCGCAGGGTTGACTATCCAATCGCTGTTTCCCGCCACCTGGAAAGCTCCGTTGCGCAGCCGGCAGACGCGGCCGCCATTTTGGTTGTGGATCGGGGCGAAGAGCCCGCCAAGTCTGAAACTGCGTCAAGTTCGCCTGTTGAGATTCCATCCCTTAGGCGACGTCTACCTTTTGTTCAATAATTTTCTGCCGCGGGAGGCGACTCTGTGGCCTTCAATCGCCGGTTCCAGATGAACTGCGACCTCGCTGGATGGACAGAGGTGGAGGTGCTGAAAGTGCTACTTGCTGCGCTTGACGACGACGCCTTGGCGGCATTTTGCACCATCCCGCCGTTGAAGAGGGCCACGCTCCAACAAGCCTTTGCGCAGATGGTGGCAATCTACAAACCGCTGTCCAATGTTCACGATAAGTTCGCTGCCCGAACGAGGGGGAAGGTCGAGACACCCCCTGCCTTCCGCAGTGTACTATTGGCGCTAGCGAAGGCTGCCTTTCTGAAGATGGACCATGACGGAGTCGACCCACTGGTCCTTGAAAGATTATTGATGCTGGCGAAGGACCTCAACATCGTTCTGCCGGCTGTCGACAAAGACGATTTGTCTTCTCTCAAGGTTGCAAGATGCATCCAGGCGCACCTGCTTTTGCAACGACACAAGGGGTTGGCGGCATGTACCCGCCTCGTGAGATGCGTGATACACCCGAAAATGTGTAGCCCGTCCAAGCCTGTGATTCGGCCCAAAGTGGAGGCTCGTGGGGGGATGGCATGGTGCGATGGGATTAACAATTTTGTCGGCAAAAGACCTCTCCTCGTCCTGGGAGCAGGATCGTCGTGTGCTACAACTGCGGCCTGCCGGGACACATCTCGTCGGGTTGCCGCATGCCACAACGACGCCTCCCTGGACCACCGTTGTAATCCGCCCGACCATTCTCCACTCCACTATATCCAAAGGTGAATTGCGACACATCACACACTCGGCACCTGAATCCACCTCACTCATCGCAATCGGATGGTTTTCATTCCCGTCGTGTGTCAGGGCATGAGGGTACAGATTTTTTCGGGCTGACTGGCCGCTCTGACCGGGTGAGTGGTTGGAGTTGGCCCATAGGGTGGGTGCCGTGGCCGCAAATTCATCCGCTGTTATCGGAATGATAGAGGGGGTTGAAATCAATGCTCGTCGATACTGGTGCATCCGCAACTTTAATTTCCGAGTTGATTTTTCACATTCTGCCCCCTAAATGTTGTACCTTATGTGCCGTCGGGATTCCGTGCTTTGCTGCAAACGGCGGCACATTGGGCATCATTGGGAAAATAACAATGGAGGTGTGTATTGGAGATATCAAATTGATGGGACCGGTTCTTGTATCAACGTCCCTTGCTGTTCCTTGCTTGCTCAGGACTGACTTCCTTGGGGAGATGCCCCTGAAAATT